TGCTGATGTTCTTGTCACCGTCTGCAAGATGCTAGCTCTACTGGGCATCTCGCTTATCCAGGGTGGACCTGTATCTGATGTTCCTGTCACCGTCTGCAAGATGCTAGCTCTACTGGGCTGCCTATTACCTCAACCGAAATCTCTATCTTCTAGGTCAACTGGATTTGATGGCGTCTCTTCCTTGTTGGCTGAAAAGTGAGAATCCTCTCTGAAGTTTGTATCTTCTTCTTGATCACCTTTCATTGCTTCAACTGGAAGTTGATACTGGCCGTTTATGTCCTCACCGTCTTCAGTGTCTGCGGTGTCTTTACTTAACTCTTTAATGAAGCTCTGCTCGGTGAAGTAGATCACTCCTTTGGTTGTGCATTTTGCATCAACATGTCCAAATCCGTGACACTTGCTACATTTTCTGGCTGTGACAAACTTGCGGATTGGTTTCACTGGATAGTAGCTAGGGGGTCGCTTGGTGTTGCAGTCTCTTCACTTCGGAAGCTAGAGTCTGCAACTTTTGGTGGTAGTAAGTTGGTAGGAACTGATACTATTTTTCCTGATCATCTTTGTATCTTCTCATTCCCTCGTATCGCGGTCGAGGATAGTCTCCCATTGGATTTCATCTTCCATGTTCGTAATCCACCGTCGAAGTCGGCGGATCTCTCATCGTATCTCGTCCAGGGAAGGCTCCAACATGTATCTCAATGGTGACATGACTAGGTTTTAGAGTGGGGAGGTGAGAGAGAGCTAAAAATTTAATATAGGATTGCTGATTTTAAAAATCAGCAAGAGGAATTGAGGGTTTGATCAAAGTTCTGGTTATGATTGAGAATAGAAAGTTTTGGTGGAGCTAGGGTTTTAGGGAAATCGGCGGAAGAGGTGGTTGATGGTAGGAATGAAAAAATTTGAGGGGCTTAGATGGATACTATTCCAACCATAGCTCGGATATCAAATAATATCGGAACTTGTAAGGAAAAGAGCAGAAACACAAAGCAAACTTTTTTTAATATAGAGATAGAGTTACAACACGACACAAGCGAAAAATAACAACACCAAAACATAAAACGACACAAGCAAACGTCTCTCAAGTGTATTCCTAGGGTGGTGGAGGCCGACTAGGTGGATCAGGATGGCTCGTGGGGGTGGCGGCAACAAAGACGAGGTGAGAAACTGCAGGAACAACTAGAAGGTTGGCTGTCCTATGCAGAGGCAACAAGAAATTGCAATAGAAATGACAGGAAAGCAAAGGTTTGTTGTCCCTGGGCGGAGGTAGCAAGGACTGGTGGGTCGGAAGCTATGTTAGCAAAGATCTTGGCGGTTTGGAGTGGCGGGAAGGTGCCAGACAGTAAGGTAAGTTTACATGTATGGGTTGGGTGCGTGCAGGAATGAAGGAGGGGGAGGCATCAGAGGGACGATACAACACCACCTCAAAGTGGGATACAACCGAAGCACCACCATCTCCTAGGATACAACCCTAAACAGGGAGAATAACTCCCAAAGGAATCTGAAAGCAATACATTGCAAAAACTGTACCTTAAACTCTGAAACAACAATATATATAGACCTAGCTAGGTGGGAAATAAGAAAGGAAAGACAATGAGAAGGGAAGGAGGAGAAAAGGGCAGGCGGCAATGCCTCCCTCTCCAAAGCTGCTCGGTTAAGCAGCAATAAGCCTGGACCCCCCTGGACCGGCCCTTATGCCAGCCGGTTCAGCCGGCTGGCTTATTTCCCGCCTCCATGTGGGAAGCTCCCGCACCCGCATCAAAGTGGGAGTTCCCGCTCCCACATCCACACGGGGAAGCCGCACGTCATTAGGCGTCAGATATGTAGATATATGAGAATTGAGTAGTATGTATGTAAATCTTGGTTAAGTTTAACTGGCAAATCTTCTGAAAGGGAAACTGTTCCGTAACTAAGGCGACACTGAAACTGACTCCTAAAACTATTTAAAAGCATGGATTACATAATTATCAACAACTTTAATGGCTTCTATTTCACACATGATGTTGTGAATTTGACTTCTAATAAACATTGGTTTATCCTTCTTTATCACTTGAAATCCTTGATTAAAGCTCACACAATGCCGTCTAAATGATTTATTTTGACAATTTTGACGTTCAAACACACTTTATTTTGCCTTTATCACTTCAATTTGACTTTATTTTGTCTAAATGATTAACAATTTCAGGCTGATGTGGATAATAGTGGCACTATTGATTATGGAGAGTTTATTGCTGCAACATTGCATCTAAACAAAGTTGAGAGGGATGATAATTTGATTACAGCATTTCAATATTTTGATAAAGATGGCAGTGGCTATATCACTCAAGATGAGCTCCAACAAGCTTGCGAGGAGTTTGGCGTAGAAGATATCCATCTTGAAGAAATGATTCGAGAAGTAGATCAAGATAATGTGAGCCATTTTATCATCATAAAATTGATAATCTCGCAAGTTTTTTCAAAGTTAATGGGGATTTGAAGCTAATTGATATTTCATGATTGATTTTCAGGATGGAAAGATAGATTACAATGAATTTGTGGCCATGATGCACCATGGGAATACTGCCTTGGGCAGAAAGAGCCACCATAATAACTCGAGCTTCAGTCTTCACGAGTCATGGAACTGATTATGTACAGTAAGCTCTCTCAGCTTTCCTTCCTCATCTCATCGCTCTGCGACTTTGTAAAAATTGAGTTGAAAAAGCTCGGTATATTGGCCGAGGTTTGTAAACATGACAAGACTGATAAAGAATGTTATAGATTCTGCACATCATTTTCAACATGAAGTTTTGAAATAAGTTGGGCTTTCCTGCCATTTTCTTGTGTCATCCTCTCTTTTGGTACCTGTAGTATAAATATTATTGTCACATATGACCTTTTCCTTTTATTGATTATTTGGTTTAGACTAATCATTAGTATTGAAGCAATGTGTACGTTACATAGCGGATGGAAAGATGGACTTTTGAATGAAGCAAACTGTTCACAGAATGTGGATTGTGCAAGTACAAAGTCTACATTTAAGCTTTAACCTAGAAAACTTGTTTTTAAATATTTTTTTTTCCAAGTCAGAGAAAAAAATATTTTGAGTATTTTTAATGCAGTTATCACTGCTTACATTGGCTACCACAACCATCAACCACCAACAAGAAACTCCAATGACATTGCCATCACCAGATGTCGTTGCTGCCGCGACCACCGTCATCATCTCGTCGGCCATCACTATACTGTTGGTCTCCAAAACCTTCTTGACAGCCACCATCAATCTTATTGGCTTGCCACCAGCTATTTGTTGCTGCCTGCAGATGATCTCAGTCGCCACCACATTTTAACATATTAATCATTTAAAAATACTAAAGGAACCTATATGTAACATACTAATTGTGTTTTATTTCACACACAAAAAAAAAAAAAAACATTAACAAAAATTGAAAATATAAAGTGATCACAAATGTCCTCTAAATAAAATTCTATAATAAATAGAAAATAATTCATTCAGCTTTATAATAATTAATTGGATCCAATAGCAAAAGCATTAAGCTTTTTTCTTCAGAGCCTTGCATAGTATCATTGAAGTGTGTATGATTAAGGGTGTTCATTATGAGGTTTAGCTAGAATGGTGGTGATGGTTACCAGATGAAATTTGAATTTTCTAGTCGCCGTAAAGTATAAAAGGATCATTAACATAAGCAAATGTGGATGGCTAACATTATGCTTTAAAGATCAAGCTTTGTGTAACCTCTTGATGATTCATTTCTTTAAAAACTTATGTAGGGCTTGACTGACTTGTTAGCTTGTGAGCCCTCTCGTCTACAAAAAAAGTAATAGAAAAGAAGTTCACAATATAATAAAATGTAAGAATTTATTGATAAATTATTAATTATATTTTAAATTTTTTATTTTATATTGTACCAAATAATTTTTTATTGTTTATGTTCTAATTACTCTTTATTTTTGTCATTTTGTCATAATAGCTACTTGAATTAATATCATTTTCTCTTATCTTGATAAGCAAACCGCTTGAACTTAAAAGATTAAGTTCTGACTCGAGGTTAATCTTGATTAATTAATTAAGCTCAAGCTGATATTGGCTTGAGCTCTACTTGATTCATTTACAACCTTAGCTCAAGTCCTCATAGGATTACTTCTTGCTTATGTGAGCAAGCCTTCACGAATGCAAAGCTTGCACTAATGGGCGACCCCACAATCTTTTCAGCCATCGAAGATCGGTTAAATTTTATCATTGCATGTAAAAAATTAAAGAGAATTTACATACATACTAAAAAACTTTATAGAGCATGGTTAGGGGAGGTACTTACCACTAGGGATGTAAAAGAGGCATATCTGAGTGAGTTTGACTCGTGTTCGGATCGTTTGAAATTGGCTCGTGAATAGAGCATTCGTGTTCGACTCGATTTACTTATTTGTGATTGACACGTGTTTGGGCTAAAAATTGGCTCATTAGAATTAAAAAATTATTATTAAATTTATTTTTTAAAATAAAGTTAAAATAATATTTTTGTTAACAAAAGTTGTTTGCATTAATATTTTTATTTTGAACTATAAAACATTTATTAACAAAAAATATTTGAAGAATAGATTTGATACAAAATTTTACATAATAAGAATATCAATAATTTTTTGCCAAATAAGCATATTACTTCAAAATTTTATGTTCCTTTTAAAAAACAAATTTATCACAAATTTACACTTTATATACTACATAAAAGTACAAATAAATTCTCGAATAAAAATCAAAACATAAAAAATAATTATATTGCACGTTTATATTTACAAAATTACACTTACATTTGTTATGCTATATATATATATATTTAAATTCTATGACTTTGTACGCATTTCTAAATCTTTATATTCGAAGATCCAATGAATAATGATTAGTGAATGATGATGAGTCGACGCTAATCTTGTGCTTGCATTTTTACTCAAGTATTAGGAAAAAAAATAACAAATTAGAAACGAAAATAAAAATTAAGATGTTATTATTAATTGAGGCTCAGATTTATGAACTCCTCTCATCACTTTCATGTAAATCAACTACACCACACAGTTTATGTGTCTTCCAAGCATGGTAAAATTGAAGTTAATATCTGCATCAATTCAAATTGTAGACAAACTATTGTAATCCTCCATTATGGTTTGCGTGGGTGTTGCCTTCTAAAGTGTAAGTAAAAGAGAACAGATAATAATCTTAGGTCATTATTTATTATTATCTTCAAAATGGTTGCAAACATGTATTGTCATACCAATAAGGAGATTTTGTAAATTTTACTCGTCACAGCCTCTAATAACATCTTAACCAAATAATGAGATACTCGAAGCAAACCAAATCGTTGCACAGGTCCCAAAGAAGGTACAAAACAATTTTATTGTTTCATAAAATATAAACCAAAAAATAATTGAGAGATTTTATCCGAACAAAATTGAAAAGCTACCAACCAATCCAAATAAGATAGCAATATGAATAACCAAGCAGTAAAGATTCTTCCATTTTCAGCAAGACACTGCTGCAAAGTTACAAAAAGGTCATATTTAAGAGATACTTTGGTTTGAGAGAAGTCATAATAAATGGATAATGCAGCTAATAATTGAAAAAAACTAAAAAAAAATCGGATAATAACCAAGAGAAGCTATGAACAACCAAGCACAACCAGATAATGCAACACTATAATTGAAAAAGGATAAAAAAAAATACCACCATAATCATTAACTAATAGTCTTTTTTGGGGCAGCTGTAGCTTATTGAATAATCTGTTGATAAGCTGATTAAAAATAATTTGTTGATAAGCTAGGTGCGGTAGCTAAAACAAATTTGTATTTGTTGGAAAAGCCAAACCCCTGCCAATAAGCTGGCACCGCCCCTAGTCACCGCACCTAGATAGGTGCGGTGTGAAAATGTTGTTTTCGGCATTTTGAAAACGCATAAGCTGTCAAAACGTAGTTTACCCAAACAGGTCAGGTGCGTTTTCAAAACTTCACCGCACCAAATAAGCTATCCCAAACAGGCCCTAACTCACAGTAGCTTGTTGGCTTCCTAAAAACAATGATAACCTAAAAACAATCAGCAAGTATACTATTTATGTTGTTAGATTCGGCGTCGCTGTTAGCCAAATGACCCTGTGGTTATCAAGTTTCAAAGCAATCATAACTTGCTTCAGAATTTTCTAAAATGTCCCAGGAAAAGGTAACATTGGTGCATGAATCAACTGCGAATTCCTCTCCAATAGAAAAGGTACAATAGTTGACTTAAAAAATATTAGCGGCACTAAGATGCATATCACCCAATTCCCATGAACAGGGCTGTCAAAATTGTTGTCCATGATCGTCTTTTTTTGGGCAACCAGCTCGTGTTCGGCTCGTTCTTTAAGTAAACGAGCCGAGCACGAACAACACCTTATTCGCTCGTGTTCGGCTCGTTTTAGCTTGAAATAAAAAAAATTATATAACTATTTATATAACAATATATTACATATATTATTTATATAATAATATATTATATATATTTATGTCTAAGTTTAAATCATAACACCCATGTGGCAATGTGGTTAGTACATTCTTTTGTATATATTTGATCCATGATCGAATCTCACACTTTACATCTATTTTTCCCAATTTAAGTTTAACGAGTCAATTTCGAGCCGAACACGAACACACTATTCATGAGCCGATTTCGAACACAAGCCGATTCCAAACACGAACTATTTCGAACGAGCCGAACACAAGCCAAGCCTAAGCTCGCTCAAGCTCAGCTCGTTTACAGCCCTACCCATGAAACCACTTATCTAACAACTATACTTTGCTTTTTTACACAGAACACTAAATTGCACGCCAATTAGGCACCCAATGAACTAGTGCAAATAGTTTAAAGGCTTTATTCTCACATAGTCAAATAGAAATAATGAAAATGACATGTCATTAGATCACAATAAAATGCTCAATTCACAAAAAAACATAGCAGCAGAATCACATTCTTGATGTTGTATGCATATAATTGTCCACCCTATGAACCACAGATAAGCATAAAATGAATTGAAAATGCTCAATTTCACAGATAGCATGCTCTCCCATAATTTCAAAAACATTCTTATGCTTAATAAGCATGCAAATTAAAGAAAATGTAACTACTATTTCAGAACAAGGGACATCTCCTTCGGTACAACAAGCCGCATAATTTCCCTCCAGAATGAGCTAAGAAGGTCCAGTAGCAACTAGCAAGAATAGGTTAAGTGTATGATAGCTAGGATTTTTCATTAGTGATTGGCAAGTCAAATATCATAAAAGACATTAGATCTTGTGCATGAAAACTATAACAAACTCCCAACTGAACAATTCAAAAATGTATGGAGCCTATTCTTTCTCCTTCAACATAACTTTCTCACCTGCTCGCATGCATGTATCAAGAGTTGGACAAATTTTAGGTATTAGGAAATGTAACTACATCAGAATTCGGTGATATGCATGTAAATTCCCAAATTAAGATTCATTTGATCACTTTGGATATAAATCTCACAATTTCAACATTCCACCCAAAAACTTGAACCAACGAAAGCTAAAAACTCTGATATCATATCTCAAAGCCATAAAAAAATGCAGATGTAGAGGCAATAGACAAGATTTCACTTCCAAAAACTCCAAAAATTAGGTTTCTCTCAAAAAGTCTAAATAAATCTAATAAGAGATTTAGGAAAATTTAGGCTAAGAGGGGGAGTCTTACAAGCAACTAACTAAACCAAGCATTAATATCGAGCAGTCGAGCCAACACTAAAGACAAAGAGACAATGTCGAAGATAAAGAGAAATAAAGTGAAGTTTAGGAGAATGATAAAGATGAAGAGACGGATAACCTGAACTCGTTTCATGATTTTAAGAGAGGGGAAAATGAGGCCAAATGGATTATTAGTTCTTTCAAATTTTTTTTTTGGCTATTATTTTTATGTATCTTCTTTAAATTAAAATTCATTTTTTTAATAAGATACTATTTATTTATTTAGATTTGTAAAATTACTTTTAAATTTTTTATATGAAAATATTTATTTTTTAGCTCATTTACGTTTAATTTTTATAAAATAATAAAAAATAAATCATGTTCAAGTCAAATCGGAAGAAGATTTGAAAGGTCAATAAAATCTCAGTCAAAAATCAAAAACTTATAATTATACTAAACCGAGGTATAAGAAGAATTTAAAAAATGCAAACCCAAATCTAAAACTTATCCCACTTGATATATATGAGGGCCCAACCGGGTTCGAACCGGTGACCTATTGATCTGCAGTCAATTGCTCTACCACTGAGCTATGGACCCCGTGTTGTGCAATTGTGAATAAACATTTATATAGTGTCATAACCCTGATAACTTAAAATTTTATAATATATGAAATTTCAAAATATTTCTTACAAAAATTTATTTAAATTTTCTGTAACTCGAAAGAAGTCTCAGGTTTTTTTTGGGACAGCTTATCAGCTTGGGCAGAGTTTTGAAAACGCTGCCTCACCTTTTGAAAAATGCGTTTGAGCCACTTATCCGAAAACGCCGTTGGTTTTTTACACTAAATGCGGAACGCTGGTCGAATCCCGCGATTCGCATTTTCAGACAAGCGGCTTATATGAATATGCACAAGCTGACTCAAACGACCCTAAATCACGGTGTTTTAAATTTTTTATTAGGATTAAATGAGAAAAAATAGTTTTGCTTAAACAATTGTCCTGAGTGAAATTTTTTTCTAGTTCCAAGTCTTTCCACAGGATATGGGTTTTTGTTGGATCACTTCTATCTTTTTTAATTTTTTATTTTTAAAATATGCTTGTTTTAGAGCATTTTTATATATGTTTTTTCATTTAAAAATAAATTATTTTTCCTTTTAAGAATACTGAGAGTATTTAAAATTTATTCTGAGTATTTTAAAAATAGCTCATTATATTATAAAGTATGAAATATGTTTATTATAAATAAAAATATAAGATAAGCAAAAAAAAAAAAAAAAAGATTAAAAATTAAAAGCAATCTTTAATGACCGCTCAATATGTTAAATTATATTCTTTTATGCCATTTTTTATTTTCATTTTTATTTATTTGTTTTTAAAATTTTGATTAAAAATAAAATATTTTTGGTATGATTTAATATATTTAGTTGCTTTTAAAAATAATTAAAACAGCTTTTAGATAATTTGAGTGTTTAAAAAAAAAATAAAAACATACAATTTTAAAATAAAAAGAACACCCCCTCTAGAGCATGAGTCTTCTAGAAAAGAAATGCAGATGCCTCATTCTGCCTGTCTACATGGAATATTTGAAAGAATAGTAGAAAAGGAAAACTGCACTATAAGTTAAGTTCTTGAATAGATATAGGGTATAATTTCTCAAGAAGATAAGAGAAAAATATTGATCTATGGTAGACTATTGAGGAATAGTATTAGTATCAAAGGAACTCTTACGCACAAACTAACAGCAATATGAATTGCCTTGGAAACTCTTAGCATAAAACTAGTGATAATCTTGTTTTAACTGGGACCAAAAAATTAAGATAAGTCTCCACCCAAGCATTATATGTGCGTCATGTGCACTGCTCATCCCAAGATGCACGTCCTTTTATCCTGAAGTCTCCTAAAAAAACCTAAAAAGTAAACCGTCAATCACCTGAGGCACTTCCTTTTATCTCATGGAGTCGTCCCTGTTAGTAATAAGATTACACTTCTAAAGTTTATGTGCCACATTCTCCCATAGATGATGTTAGATTAGAAATCTCCTCTCAACCCACTTCATCTGTTCAAAGGAAAGTGTCACAACCTCAAGAAATAGCAGAGCATGAATTTGAGACTACCCTAAAGGAAGTGGAAATAGAAACTAAGGATATCAATGACATTTATATCACTCGGTATTAGAATAAAAGTATAGATGAAACTAAAAATAAAGTAAAAGAGATGCCTACTGATGAAGAGCCTTAGTACATCCTAGTTGATCCAGAGAATATTAGAGGCTAACTTATTTATGAAGCATTAAGTGAATAAGATATTAGCATTAAACAACTAAAAGAAGATTATGGAGTCTTGAAATCTTCTGAGGAAAGTGAGACCATTATAATGGTTGAAAGCACAACTTTGCTAAGAGAGCGACAAAGATTAGGGGTCTTCAAAAGTTTCAAAATGTTGCACCACAAACACCGCCCGCACATTAAAATTATTGCACACTGCAGTACACACACTTTAAAATTATATATATATAGATATATATATATGTTACATTTATATTCAAATATTCAAATCTTTTTTCGGATAACTCAAATGGCAATTTGCATGATTTAAACCCGACACCTAATGATGAAAAACTATAACCTCAACCACTATATCGCAGTTAAGTGCGCCTAAAATTCAAATCTTACTAGACTAAGAAATAATAAGATACATGAAAAATATAATTAATTAGCTAATAAGATTGAAATAAATAAAACCCATTATAAAGTATCTTTCTCCCAAATATACAACTTTCATGTGCCTAAAAGCTTTTTCACACAAAGATAAATTTACATGTATCGACAAACCTCACATCTAAACTTTGACAATTACATACATATCACTTTGGTACTTTAATCCTGTGCATAAAATTATATATTTCATTTTTAAAAAGTGATAATAATGCTTTGTGTGTAAATATGAAAGTTCAGCAAATGTGCTATCTATGTAAATGCACCTTTCACAATTTACCCACACCAGCCGCTTCAAAACTGCTGTTATTATTCAAATAAACAGCAGCAGATGCAATAGGTAGCTATATTTAAGAGAGGTAAAGATAAACATAAATTATCAACATCCCAAAAAGAAACCAGACGTTAAAATTCATGAAATCAAAAGAAAATGACAATTATAACGATTCCAAACCTTGTTACAAAATTGAAGCAATACACAACAAATAAATGGCCAATGAAACTTCATAAACTCCCCATCCTGACATGACCTGAAACACACTAAATCCTATCCAAACACATCCAATGGCAACCATCAGCTTGTTCTAACAATGAAAATCCATCAAATAAAGAGGGCAAACCAGAGCAAGAAACTTACCAAGCAACAAGATTCAAAATAGGCAGTCCGCACATCCGTATTCATAACAGACAAATCAAATAATATACAATACTTTGATACTTGAGACGTTCCGAAAAATAGGAAGACTGTGACTCTCTACCAGTAGAAAAAAAATAAAAAAATCCATGAGACAATATAAGCAATGATACAATTCTTAATCAGCTCCTATATTCACAAATCTGCACAAAATAGTACTAAGAAAAATGAATCCAAATTTATCAAGCTTCAATAGGAACATTACCAGGATTATTCGTCAGAAGTTCTGAACCAGTGAGACTACAATTAACTTCAGCTGGAACTTCAGCAAATGATTCTGTAGGACACTCGTCCACCTGTTTGGTCTCATCCTGTTCCACCTTTGGTTTACCAATCCTGTGCTTCAAGTTTGAAGCTTTAATCTTTGAACCGTTGAGTTTTGCTTCGGGTTTAGCCAAGGTTGATTTTAGAGAGGGAAGACTTGAATATGGCTTCTGGTAAGTTCTCTTGGGAGCTGCAGCATTAGTTTGGGCACCTCCATTCTGCTTGACTACTGAGTTGGGGTCGGTCTCCAAACTTTGAATGGAGTCATCAACTTCTGAGTTGTTGGCCGACGCGCTGGCGGATTTGTGACGTCCAAGTTTTGGGGATCGAGCCCTTGTTGGTGGGATCTATCACGAAACAATAGAGAATAAGACAAGGATGACAAATTCTTGAGGTAGATGACCTTAACGACCACAACTGATGAACGGATACAAAAAATACAACATGGTTAAACAAAACTCAAGTTATCAACTTATTGAGATAAGAAGAAAACCGAAGAGGAAACAACCAAAGAGATGAATACATGATGCATTGATGCAGAAAATAAAAAAGCTTCTCAAGATTAGCATGTTAAACAGAAACCAAGCATTCCAAAGTTGAAATGTTGGTGTCTAAGCCGGATTAAACCTGTTGAATAACTGGGTCCTCACTTTTTTACTAATTCATTTGGAGAAAAAGCTCAATTCATTCATTCAAGAGGAACTGAAAACAATTGAATCATTACCTAGCATATTCTTCCAAAGTTTTCAAAACAGATGTCAGATCATAATACGTGCTTAAATCGAACCCTTTGGACTTTGTTCTTTGCAAACTTCACAGCATCATCAGTAGCAGGTTTTTGGAATTTGCAATTCCTTCTTAATAATTATCTTGATGCCCTTGAAGGGCGAGGACGCAAAAGGTTGTTTAATATGTTAAAATTCAATGGGATTTCAGACTTTGGGATAGCACTTACTGCGAACTTGAAAAAAATGGGTTGCCAGGGCTGTCGATCAGGGCCATCATATTGTCTCGTAGGCCTGGCTCATAATCAGCTTTATTGGACTCTCTTAAATAGGGTACTAGAGTTAATGTGTCATTCATAATAACCCAGTTTTAAACAACCAATCCATTAAACTCCCCTATTTTGGACCTATTTAAATCCATATTTCAAATTAATCATAAGCTAGATTCATATTTCAACAAATATTTTCATAAATAAAAAAGTCAACTTGAAATAATGATAAGAAAAGATCAATTATTGCCTATACTACAATATTTAGATCTTACACTTAGCTCATGTGAGTCAATTAAAGATAATAATTATGTTGAAACTTGAAATTTGATTGAATAGAGAGAGAGGTTGAATACAAATTTGTACTTGGACCATGCCAATGGAATAGAGCCAGATTCCAGAGAAAGGAGAAAGAGAGGGAGAGGGAGAGGGAGAGAGAGAGGTTGCGGTAGGGGGGCAAAGAGGGGCGGGCCCTTTTATTCCACAAAAGAGAAATTACATGTGAGAAGAGAATGGAAGCAAACTCCCTACATGAGGGAGAGTGAGAGCGCCTAAAAGACCTTTTTACATGCAAGGCGTCCTCTATTTATAGAGAAGTAAATAAAGGAGATGGAGATTACATTTATGCCCCTACTATAAGAGGAGTCATAAGGGGTATTTTGGTCCTTTCCGCCGCGCTGATCTGCGATCCTCCCAGAGCTTCCTGCAGCTGGACTTGTCGGTGTCGAGTGGTTGACCCAAGTGGTCTTTAGTAGCCGGCCCAGGTGGCCGACCATTTGGGGTGGCCGGCCGTCTACCTTCTCTATGGCCGACCTATAGTGGTCAGTTGTCTGCATTCTCTGCAAGCTTTAGAAAACCGGACTGGACCGTCTAGTTCAACCGGTTCGACCTTGAACCGGTGGCCAGTCCGTTCAACCGGTTCGAACATGAACCGGTGGCCATCCGGTTCGAACCAAACAGAAAATCATTTTTTGGGTGTGAACAGGCCGGAATCAGTTGAACCGCCGGTTTAACCGTTGGACTGACGAACTGTTTCTATGCTTATCATTTATGCGGCATTGGAATCGTTGGAGGGTTTTGCATGGTAGAGTTTCCAATGAAGAGAAAAGGCTCTGCGTCGGAAGTTCCAATGGATATTATGGGAAGTTTCTAATGGACAAAGGCTCTACATGAGGAGTTTACAATGGAGAGGATGACATTGGAAATAGAGTCAAGCCAGGTAATAATATATTTAGATGAAGTTTTGTGAGAGAAGGTGATTGTACAATGGGCAAAAATCTCCTCAGTGCCATGAGTAGATTCAGTATAGGAGGAAGAGCAACCAACATATCTTGGAGATTTTACTTCTTTTAGATTATATAGATATAGATAGAGATATATATATATATATATATATTAAAATGCTATTATGCAACCATTATATTTCATATTTAAATTTTTTGAAAATTAATTATTAAAATTTAAAATAATTTTTCAAAATTATTGTGGAGTTTTTTTCTTTAAATATTGATGTATTTATTTTATATTTTAATAGTCAATTTTTTTTAAAATATATCATTCATTTCATATTTAAATAAATTTATAATTTATTACATCATCCAGTTCAACCCCCGGTTTAATCCCGGTTGAACCAATAAACCTTGAACATTTACTTCTTCCGATTTGATGTCCAGTCCGGCTTTCACAACCTTGCTTCTATGTGGTCAACCGACGAGGGTGGCCGGCCAGGTGAACCTTGAAATGGTTGACCCAAGTGATCGGCTGAGTTGGTCGGCTTGCTGGGGTGGTCGGTCGGCTTGGTTGACCGGCCGAGATGGTCGGGAGGTGGTGGCCGGCCCGGTGGGTAATCAAAATAAGTTACTAAAACTCAAGGGTAACTTGCTTAAAATTAAGTTGATTCAATAAAATCAATCAATATATGATACATGCATCCACATGAACACACACACACACACATATATACTTCAAAACATTTAATCAAAACAACATGTTAGTCTCAAAGATACAAAGCAAACGGGAAACCAATGAATCTTCCAGTGTGATATCCAAACATGACGACCAATTTGAACAGGAAAAAAAAACCATGATCTAGTTGATTATGTAGGCTGGTTTTGAATTTGACAGTTTTTTGTTACAAATTTGCCTAAACAAAGCTAACTCAACTATCGCACCATTATCACTCACTATCTTACCCCCTCCCTCATGCCCTACTAGGCACGACCCAAAGGAAAACCTAGGTCCTTGTAGTCCCATCTAGGATTTGTGCTAAAAATTTGTCTATGATGGTTCAGCTCTTTTTTTTTAATTTTTTAAAAATCCTTTTAATGGTTTCATTAGCAAGACGACATGATAAATGCAACCAAAGAAACATATCTATCAATGCCTTAAGGGAAGCAACAAAACTAGGATGTTAAAAAATTACAAAGTACTTTCAAGCCCCAACAATGTAAAATTCCAAGCAAAACCTTGATATGTTTACCATGAGGAATAAACCTCATACAATGGAATATAACGTTAAATTTAAACGAAAAAAATTAAAAGCAGAAACTATAATAGCAAAAACCTTATCTGGAAGGGACTTCCGCAAATAAATTTTTGAAAAAAAAAACCTACAGAAAAAACTAGCCAGTTGAAAACTCTAGTATAGACTTTCCAGAAAAGATATTTACAACAAAGTTAACATAAACTTCTTCCTAAAGTAAACAATAATACAAAAACAAGATTTAATTTCCTCCAGCATCATTTGGTTACAAAAAAAAGTTAATAAGAAATTTGTAACAGAGTGCTACATCATATAGATTGACAAGGGAAAAAAATACCTTCTTCAATTCAACTTTTGGAGGAATAGGCTCTTGATAAAAACTTGGCATCGGTGTAGCCTTAAAGGTCAAACTTTTCCTCAACTGCCTAATTTCAGCCTCCTGATTCTCCTATATTATACCATATTTCAGATTCTAGTTAATTTCCAATAAAGCGAAGGACAGACTTAGGATGATTATTAAAAAAAAACATTCAAGGAGATAGCATCTTACCATCGACTTTGCCTGCATATTGTTCATTTCCAATTCTTTAGCCTGGATCTTCTCTTCCAGCTTCAAGAAAAACTGCAAGAAAAAAAAGGGGGGTAATTTACATGTCTAGCACACTATTCTATTGAATTTACATATCTCACAGCTAAACTTCTATATCACGCACATAGTACTTTGGTACATTAAACCAATGCAAGCAAAAGTGTATTTCACTTTTTAAAAATCTATGCTGGATGTGATATTAAAGATTTGAGTACTATGTGCATAAATATGAAAATTTAGGTGTGAGATATGTTAAATACATAAGAATTGTGTATTATGTATGCAAATGCCTCTAAAATAAAATAATGAAGAGGATCATCTCGAGGAATTTAAACCGACCAACCTCCTTCCTTTTCTCTGCACGCTCATCCAACCTGAAAGAAAAACCAGAAGCACTCCTTCGCTGGACTGCTGTATTAGAAGTGTGGCTGTATTGAAAATGTGATAAGACATAACCAAGCATTTAGAATGCAATGGAAACTTAGCACAAATTTCAGAAATTTCTGCTCAAGGCCTATAAGAAAACAATTGTATAGGCAATGAGAGATAGAATTAAGAACATACTGAGTGGCTGCAGAAGAAGTATATTCATTCACTGAAACAGCGTTAATAGGCTGAAAACACACACATAATTTGCACAAAATCACTACCAAGAAATATGCTAAGAAAAAAAATGTGTTTTTCATCGCCATCTCTTCACAGAATTACCAATGATTTTTGTCGAGTTTCTGTAGCCCTGAACCTCAATTTACTAGCAGTAAACCCATCTGTAACAGAATGAAGTTCAGAATAAGAAAAATGTACAGTGAAAATTATTTAAGATTAATGGAACTAACCACTAGAAGCAAACTCTGCATTATTTGCACTGAGACCATTCACGTCTACATTTGTCTGCTTTACAGCTGTTGTAATCTTCTTTAGGCCGCATGCAGGATAGCTTTTAGTTGGGAAAGAAAGGCTCTGTGTAAGGCGGGCCTTTGGGTTCTTGTCATTAACTGCTGCATCATTTCTACATGCTCCATCCTTGTTAAGCTTTCGGGTCTTCTTGTTCTCTAACTTATTAACTTGATCAGTTGCAGCTTTCTGCAAATCAAATAGTTCATTTCATAGACATTTAAAGAGTTCCTTTAATGGATATCGAAAGAAGTCACAACCGTGTACCATTGAAAGAACTGAAACTTTATTTTCAGAAACAGCAGACGAGTCTTCAATCAGCAATTCAGAACCATTAGAGCTTCTAGCAAGAAATGCGAATTCTAAAGTTTCATCTGCTTGTTTAGCGTCAGATTCATTCTTTTCTAACTCATCGTTGTCATTTGTGGTGATTTTTTCACCATTTTTTCCACCGGATCCAAGCATATTAGCAATCCGAGCTTTCTCTAAATTCCCGTTGGAAAGCTCCAATCCGACTCCGTCAGTAGCTTCCATCATACAATTTAACTCAGATGAAACAATAAATTAAATTCTGCAACGAATCAAATTTGATCATCAGGTAAACCCCATAAAAAATAAAACATACAAAAACAATCAATCTATGGCTGTTCAACTAATTTCTTCCAGACTCCAGGCCACTGAACGCAATTTGAAAGAATCGCTTTATAATAAACACATCAGCAGAGCGCCAAAGGATCTGACGGTACAAACTAGATCTAACATGAAGGACTGCACCATTCACAAAGATCCACATAGATTTCTAGTTGAAGATGGAGATCCGAACCCAAAAAAAGAATCTCTAATACAAAAGCAAAAAACCCATTCCCAAAACCCCACGACTATCGAAAAAATCGACAGAAAAAGAAGCTACAGAAGTGAAGAACGAGGATGAAATGATCCAAGCATACCACCACAGCTTAAGATTAAGAAACTAGTACTCCGCGAAAACCCTTCCATAATCGAAACCCTTCCTCCGCAGTGGAACTTCCTGGCTAAGGATCAATACACTATAATTCGAGATCCAGCCTCACACGCGGTTCTACCTCGCCGGAACGTTCGCTTCTCGCCGCCGGCGAAGTTGGAATCACCCAACCCTCACTGTTCACGGAGGTTCGCCCTTCAGCCAGAAGAGCAACACGTGAGACTGACAGTGCCACTTGCTGACCTGGATATGTTTATAGCCATAATTCTAAAAAATAATTGTTATTTCATTTGCAAATCTACCCCTCATACGCTATTCCGAGATTATCTTACAAAACTCTGCTCCTTTTGGGAAAAAACCTTTCATCAAATTAAAAAAATAAAAGGTTAAAAATAATATCACTATTATACATCTTTGCTGTAATAAACGATTCCGTATGAAATAATTTTTCCCTTTAATGAGTGTAAATAAGAAAATTTTTTTTATTTGTGATATAGTTTTACATCGCAACTACAATTAGAATGTGTTACATGTACAATCAAGTCTATTCATGTATTAAATTAATTTTTTTATTAAGTTATGTCTATTTGTACACATGACAGACTTTGATTGGGGTCCTAATGTTGTTTTCATTAATCAACTTTTTATTATAAAAAAAATAATATTCATTTAAGGTAATGTATAATAAAATGATAAATAAAATGAATAATTATTAGAGAAATAATAAAAATTTATTTAATATAAAACATAAATTATTTTTTAAAAACTTTTTTAATACTTTAAACATAAAATTTTCAAATTTAATAAATTTTGAGTATACTTTATATTAATAATTTTGTAAACAAACCGGCTCACAAGCTAATTAGTTCATTCGAGGATAGCTGGAGCTTGGCTTGTTAGCTCATCAAATTCAGTTTGCGAGCTACTTATCAAGTCGGGGGCTTGCTCACAAGTAGGCTTGACTCAGTTACACCTCTAAACTTCAACTTTTACATAAATACCACACTATCAGTACATGAAAGGTGTGTTTCTTTTTTAAAAGTTAAAATAATGATGTTGATACGTAAATACATACGAATTGAGTGGTATTTTTTATGTGATGTTTTCGTGTATTTACAGACATTCCTCCCTATCAATAAAGACATACCACTCAACTTGTATGCATTTATAGCATTCAATATATTATGACATACTATGCAATTTTAATTTTGAAGTTTTGAGTTTTTATTCAAAAATATTTAAAATATGTAATCATATCAAACCATCAATATTTTTGAAATTAAAAATAACTCATAATGTAGTTTTAAATTTATTTCAAAATAATTTAATTAAAATTTCACTGTCATATTTTGTATTTCATTATTTTAAAAAATTGAGTTTAAATTAAATATAAAAAATTATAATTGTTTTATCTTTATTAAAATAGTATTGCAGCTTTTTTTTTATTTAATGACTCATGATGTACAATGTTAACTTAAATTTTAATAAAAAAATATTTATATTTAGGTTACTTTAATCATGTTAATTTAAGCTGGCCTAACAGGACAACTACTAATGAGTTGAGACATGTATTCCTTCGTATGAAGTTATAACCACTACAAAACTCAATATGCGTGTCACACAAATTTTGTGTTTATATATTGAACAAAAAAAGTACAATTTTGGTGTTTATGTATTGTACATCAAAAAAATGTTTTCACAAATCTCTAGGAAATCAAATGGATAAAAGGATAAAAGAGTACAACTAAAGGGGTTCACATGCGGATGACCAAAGAATACATAGGCAGACGATCAAATGGTCGCCAGGCGAAAGATCACATAGTCCTCAGGCGGAAGATCAAAGGGCCGCCGGATGGAAGACCAATAATCCATTGGCGAAAGACTAAACATCCCATTAACGGAAGACCGAAGGGTCCATTAGCGGAATACCAAAGGACATATTTGACTACATGCAACTTCCCTGAACAGGGGTCATAGGTCAATCAAATGCAAGTCATCTAAACCAAAGATTAAGGCCAATCAAGCCAAATTGAGGCATCGATGCACCTCTCGTCACAATTAGACTTAAGAAAAGAGTTCAGCATTGCCAGCCATCTCATGGGCACCCATAAGATTCCTCATCTCGAAAACTAACCATTTAATACGTCTAGTTGGTGAATTTCTCACTTGTTAGAGGCTGCAAAAGTAAGGAGCGTCGAAATTGTTGTGAATTTAACTATTGGACTTAATGTGTGTTGATAGTCAAGTCGATATTCTTATTTAAAGCACCAAGTGACCACTTGAGCTTTGTTTTTCGTAATGGTGACGCTACTGTGATATTTCTTTTGATAAGTCTGTTTGCAGCCCAGTAAATTATGAATGGGGGTGGGACAAGTTCCCTCATTCCTTGTGATTGTAATGCTTGAAATTCAATGGACATTGCCTTCCTCCTTTGAGGGTATATGATTACTTCCCTGTAATAAGAGGGATTGGTAGGTATGGTGATGCGAGAGAGGTCAATGATATGCTAGGGTTTGGTAATATCAATCTTGAGTTTGATTTGCATGCGATGAGAATTGGATTTAGAAGGTAGGAGAACTTATAACGGTGGTATGGATGTAGAGCTATCGGGCAAGGTAATTTGTTATCGTGTCTGAAGTGAGAATGGCGGAGTTGTAGTTGAATGAGTAGATGCTAGAGGTGTTAAGTTATCAGAGGTTGAAGGTGGGGGTTGATGGAGTGATATGTTACTGTTTGAGGTTTAGAGTGGGATAAGTGTTGGAGGTGGAAGAGTGGGACTGGATTTTAAAGTGTTTCTTAGGGAAAGGCATCATCATTGTAGAGAACTTGCTAGGAGATGTATATTTGCCAGAGGTAAGAACAAGGTAGTGACATCCTTTTTGTGTTGTTGCATCGCCCATAAATATGCATAGAATGGGCATGTATGATAGTTTGTTGGGGAGCTAAAGATGTTGTCAAGAAAAAAATCTAGCATCAAAAAATTAAAGGTGTGTGTAGGTTGGAGGATTATTGCAAAGGAGTTGGTAAAGAGATATCATGTAATGATTGAAAAGGGAATAAATTTCCGAGGTAGCTTGTTGTTAAAAAGGCATTATTCCAGCATTTGGTGGAAGAGGTGACTCAAGTAGTCGGGCGTGTGTGGCTTCTATGATTCGGTGATGTTTTCTCTCGATGGAGCAATTTTATTTAGGTGTGTCACTACCGTTGTGCTGATGGAGAATGCTGAAATGTTTTAATGTAGTGGAGAGTTGATGGTTCATATATTCTTCACCTCCATCAGTTCTAAGGATCTTAATCCATTTTTTATGTTGATTTTCAATTAGGGTTTTAAATTCAATAAATTTGGAAATTGTTTTAGGATTATGAATCATTGGGTAGATCGAGGTAAACTCCCAGAGATCATTAATGAATAGTACATAGCAATGAAAACCACAAATAGATGTATTGGAAGAAATAATTCATTCCATAAATAAAAATGTTAAAAATCATCTTAAAAAGAAATCATTTCATCACCAATAGCTTGTTTCAATTTTTTTTTTTTTTTTTGGGCCTTCCTTGTCTAAAATTAATAAGGGGAATTTACATAACTACCTCATAATTCCTATACATTTACATATCAAACCCCTAAACTTTTAAATTTGCATAAAAACCACTCAAAAAATTGACATTGCATCAAAAAATATAACTATCACTAACTTCTTGAAAATAAAAACATAGACTTAAATAGCAAAGTGTAAAAAATATAAATAAAAAAGTTTAGATGGTGAATATGTAAGAACTCTACGGTATATGTGTAAATTTTCCAATTAATAAAAGTGTTTTCTTATGAGTACATTAATCATATAATTGCTTGAGGTAGTTGTAGCTTATAATGATGGTCGGCTAGCTATACTAATTCCTGATCATGACATTTGATGTAAAAAGAGACCGCCCATGTCCATTTGAGCAAAATTGAAATTTATATGTCTCAAATAGGAAAAAACCAATATGTACTTTTTAAAAAAAAAGCCATTTCATCTCCTTAAAAAAATTTTAAAACTATCATAAATATTATTATTATGTTAAAAAATAATTAATATTAAATTATTATTAAGGATTTAAATTTATGAGACAAAATTTACTTAATATGATATGATATTGAAAAACTAATAAAAATTTAAGTCCATCTCGCGGAGTCACATTCCACTCGTGTTTAAAGATGCATGTATTTAGAATAATAATAATTGTTTCATATAATTTAAATCTAGACAACCATATAATTATAAAAATTCTAAAAATTGATAGCATTTTAGAGAATGCACGTGTATAGAGACACTGATGTTAATTTGTTTTTAGCTCATAATGTTGTGAATATGGAAATCGATCCACTGTTCAAATTAATATTTTCTCATATTTTACAGCAAATTGAATTTGATACTCAGAATTAATTTTTAAATTAATTGTTCTTAATTCTTTCTATGATTTGCTGCAAATGAGAAAAGGAAACAATTAATGAGATTCATTATTTATTTGATTAATTCATTAATGGGTCTAATGACATTATGGAATTAATAAATAGACATGCTAGCTCTCATTTTTATCTCTCTCGGGATTTGGTTTCTCAGGTTTCCTCTTTAGCATTGGTGGCTTTCCAAGTTTTTCTTCTGGTGTGATTCGATTTGAAGCTCTCGGGTAGAGAGAGAGAGAAGAAGAGAAGGAGAGGAGAGAGAGAGAGTGATTTCTTGTAATCGTCGAGGTGATCGGCGGGTTTTATTCCTCGTAGTAATAAAATCCTCTGCAGCTCCTTGAATGTATGCAATTTGTCAAACCACGTAAATCTGTGTGTTTCCGCTATTTTCTGTTTTGTGTTTTTCTCGTTCCAATTTTACGCTTTATTGACATCGTTTTTCACAACAGGTAACTCTCGTGCATGGGGCCTTTCATCCGTGCAAGAGGAAATAGCCAACCATCGGGCCACAATCTCATCTGCAATTTCAGATTATTATGGTTCCAAAATAACAAACTTTAGTATCTTGTCATAAGCACGAACATA